TTAGAGCCACGGTTGAGCGAACCACCTGATTGACATGTTGAGTGCTAGGTTAGAGCCACGGTTTAGCGAACCACCTGACTGAAATGTTGAGTGCTAGGTTAGAACCACGGTTGAGCGAACTACCTGACTGACATGTTGAGTGTTGTGTTAGAGCCACGGTTGAGCGAACTACCTGACTGACATGTTGAGTGCTGTGTTAGAGCCACGGTTGAGCGAACCACCTAATTGACATGTTGAGTGCTAGGTTAGATCCGCTATCGAGCTGTTAGCTATTACAAGTTAGCTCCACTATCGAGCTGTTAGCTATTACAAGTTAGCTATTTACTGCATAAATTTTATATCCATTCATTTATAAATAACGCTTAACGCACGTAATAATATACATACGTATATATATATATTAAAGTTGTAATTAAATTAAAAAAGTGGTTATGAAAATAATATTAAAGTTTTTATTCCCCAACGTCGTTAAATTCTTACAAAAAAGATACTAAGCTCCGGCCCATTATTTTCCTCCGGGCTCAACATGTAAAACGTCTCCGAATCCCTGGACCCCACCACCCGTTCAAAGTGGGCCCTCATGTATGCCATCTCACCATCGGGGCCCTCCACGTCAGAGTTTCCCGGCAACACTCCGGCACCCATGGACACCGGCCGGAGAATCTCCATAACTTTAAGATCTTCATCGGAGGCTGCCCTTTTAACGCCATACCCAGTTTTCTTACCGTTACAAAACATGGACCATAACGGCTCCTCCATGAGCTTGGTCTTGTCGGCCTTGTCGGTTCTCTTCTCGCACTCAAGCGCGATCCTAACCATCCCCGAGCTCATCTCCCTCTGCAGCACGTTGGTCTGCATGGCTAGCTCGATCACCATGCTGGGGAAACTCCGTGGAGTCTCTTGCATCGATAAGCTCACGCGCCCTTTTCGGTACCCGAAGAGCGTCCCGGTCACGCGGCTCCCCGACGGCGTTCGGAGCGTTTCTGTTATCCCGGAGGGGAGTGGGGGGATCTTGCATGCCGGAGTTATGATGGGGAATGATCGGAAAACCGATCGGAAAACTCGGAAGACTTTGGTTTTGTTCTTCTTTCTCTTGGATGGGGGAACGAGGGAGGTGGATTGCAATAGCGACGGGGCTTGTGGCGGCGGTGGCGGAGGGGGCGGTGGAGCTGAGGAATCTATTGCAATGATGGCGGTGGAGGTGGTTTTTGGGTCTCCCATGAACCGACGGTAATGAAGCAACACTGTCATTGAGGAGAGCGTGAGAGTGCGAGAGGGAGAGAGAGAGGGTGGGGATGGCCGGTATAGACAGTTATTGGCCTGTGTTTTAGAATGGGTCCAGCCTCCTTAATTTTTGGAGCAATCAATCAATTTTGTCTACCAAAAAATAGAATTTTTCTTCTCTATTTTATGTTTTATTTCTACCATTATTTGATGCAACCTTTTACGTATGATTATTTGTAACCCCAGGAACATATAAGAAACATCACAACCCAACTTAAAAATAGAGGGTTCGGCTACGTTAGATTAGGTTACCAATCCAGCAAACGTGAACTTTTGGGTTGGTCTAAAAAAAAATTCTCAACCAAACCCAGACCATGAATACCCCTTGTTCCCAATTAACATGGTCCATATATGGGATGTCATTGGTCACTGCAACTCATCTGGTCATGCCATTGAGAATCGGCCCACGTGTCGTTTATAATATCAAGACATCCCGGACATCCATCCATCTAGGTTCTATCGAGGAATTAGGCCCTCGTGCCCATGTCATGCCATTTATGGATACCGTACTAAATAGTGGGTACAAAAATCCATCCTCCGATACATGGGCAAAGGCCCAATACTGGCACACTCGTGTCATCTAATACTGTCCTTAAAAATTAATTTAAAAGGAAGTCGCCTGAGACACTCATCTCGGAACACTTGCTGCACTGTGACACACACATGTGAAGATGGAAAGTTCAAAAATTGGATTTGAGAAGTTTGATGGATTCAAGATTAGTTTCTGGAAGATGCAAATTGAAGATTATATGTACAAGAAATATCTTCATGAATTATTGTCTGGGGTGAAGTCGAATACCATGACCATGGAGCAGTGGAAGCTCAAGGATCGACAGACCTTATGGTTGATCCATTTGACATTGTCCAAAAATGTGGTGTTCAACATCATTAAGGAGAAGACAACGTCGGACTTGTTGAAGGCGCTATCGAATACGTATGAAAAACCATCAACTATGAACAAGGTGTATTTGATGTGGAGATTGTTCAATCTAAGTCAATTGAGCTCAGTGAAAATTATTTTCGAAGATGAAATTAAAGCATTGATTTTGCATCTTTACCCAAGTTGTAGGATACTATTGTTGACACGATCTACCGTTCTTGAGGACTCGAGAAACTGAAGTTTGATAAAATTCGAGATGTAGTTCTCATCGAAAGTATTCACAAATGGGAACTTGTTGATTCATCAGGTAGACAATGCTCTTAGTGTTGATCGAAGAGGAAGAAGTAAATTAAAGAGCTCAAACAAACATGGCTGATCAAAATTAGAAAAGAAATGGAAAAATCTCTAAGTAGTTAGAATTGGGATGAGTTCGTGAAAAATTGTAAGGGTGGCATGGTGCATATTAGCATCAAAGTCTATGACACAATAAATTTGGACATATTAGTGTCAAAGGAATATCCATACAGACGTTTGGAGACCATCTTCAGTTCCATCGCTTGGTCGAATGTGTTTGTCATCTTCAAGAAGTGAAAAACGGAAGTTGAAAGTCAGACCGGCTTGAAGATCAAATGTCTGAGGTCTCGCAATGGAGGAGAGTACGACCACTCAGAATTTAAAACATTTTGTGTTAGGTTATGGAGTTTGCTGTTTCTTTTTGGACTTTTCCTTTCGAGCTTCCTTTCAAGGCTTTAAAAACGCGTCTGCTAGGGAAATGTTTCCACACTCTTATAAATGGTGTCGGGCTTCCCCTCAAGGGCTTTAAAACGCGTAAGGTTTCCACACGCTTATAAATGGTGTTTTCACAATCCACCCCAGGGAAATGTTTCCACACTCTTATAAATGGTGTCGGGCTTCCCCTCAAGGGCTTTAAAACGCGTAAGGTTTCCACACCCTTATAAATGGTGTTTTCACAATCCACCCCTCTTTGAGGCCCAGCGTCCTCGTTGGCACTCTTTCCTTCCTCCAATCGATGTGGGATCGCCACCAAATCCACCTCCTTCGGGGCCCAATGTCCTTACTGGCACATCGCCTCGTGTCTGGCTCTGATTCCATTTGTAACGGCCCAGATCTACCTCTAACATATATTGTCCTCTTTGGGCTTTTCCTTTCGAGCTTCCCTTCAAGGCTTTAAAATGCGTCTAGGGGAAGGTTTCCACACCCCTTATAAATGGTGTTTTGTTCTCTCCCCCAACCAATGTGTGACATCACACACTATATTTGCTAAAGTTATATACGATAGATAGTTATATATATCTATTAATTCCTGTAAGACCGTTTGTTGGACGTGAATAGACATAAACAAACATGGACCATCTCATGCCTAACCTTCGTAATGTTTCTCCATGACTTGCACGCTAAAGCACAAAAGATGATAACAGTCCTAGCACGCCACGAGGTTTCACTCTCTTCTACTCATCCGATTATGTCCAAAAGCAACTCAAGAGCCAAATTTACCCACGACCCTTTTTGAACGACTTCAAGCCGAGGAGACACTTCATCTATCTAAAACGAAATTACACCATTTTCAACACTTAATTTATTCAGTCATCGTCGAAAAAAGGGTTCCATATTTTATATATAATTTTATTTTAGTTAATTAGTTTATTAACTAATGGATATTAATTTTTTATTTAATATAATAAATCAATAATAATTTATTAAAATATTTACTTAATTTATTTCTAATAATAAAAAATTATTAAATGAATGTGATTGATTATTAGTTAATTAGCTAGCAACTTTTTTAAATATAATTAATTTATTCATGAATTAGGATTAGTTAATTAAGTTAGAATAAAATTCATTTTTAATAATTATAATTAATTAATTATTGATTATGTACAACCAAAAAAATTATTTCATAGGATCAATTTTGATTTTTTCATTCTCTTTTTTTTTTACCTTCTTTTTTTTGGTATTGTTTATTAAAATGTATTTCTTTCTATTATTTAATTAAAATTAATCGATTCAAATTAAATTCATATATAATTAATAATATTGAGCTATGATATATTCTATTGCAAACCTCAGGCAAAATTGTGCCATGATATCTTTATTTGACAATATTCGTCGAATATTGTCGGACAAAGTAGAAAACTAACTCAAAAATACGATAGGGACGACTTTGCCCAAAAATGCAAAAACTTGAATGCATCCTAAGCTGGTCCAAGAAACTTAACCCCTCGTCTCGAACACTTGTGCCTACATGCCCCTGAAGTAAAAAAACTAGCTTGAATGGAGCTTAGAGGGACTGACTCCCTCGACCCTAGCTACAACTTAACCCAAAAGTACAAAAAATGCTCTAAATGTTAAAAAGAATTTGAATGGTCCAAGAAACTTAACCCATCATCTCAAACGCTGATGTCTACTTGAAGCCAAAAACTAGCTCAACCGGAGGTGATGGTAGCTACAACTTAGCCCAAAAGTACAAAAAGTGTCGTAAGTGTCTTTAAATGCAAAAAATAACTTGAATGCACCCTAACCGAACCCATCATCTTGAATGCTGATGTCTCATTGAAGTGATGTCTCATTGAAGTCAAAAACCAGCTCGAATGGAGCTCAGAGCGTCTAGTCCACGCCCCAAAAGCTACAACTTAACCCAAAAGTACAAAATACGTCTAAAGTATCTCACTCGTTCGGGTTTTACTTAATTCGATCCGTGCCCGTTATAGCCTAAACCTAACTCTTCCCTTGTTTATTGAAAAGAATTGAACGTATAAAGAAAAACAAAATTGAAATAATTTTTGTAATTTTGTTTTTTAATAGAAAAAAAGGTGTAAACGTGAAGGGGTGAATGTGGTGGCCGATGGGTCCATTTTCTGTGCACTCTCAAGGACCGTAACAGGGAAGCCGTTGGAGCTTCGAAGTCCTCCGATCATACCTTTTTGTTGCCTTTCACGCTCTGTACTCATACCTTCCTTCACCTTTCTTCTTCTCCTCAAATCCACACACACCAACCAATTTCATTGCCAGAATTCATTCTCTCTATGAGATTTTACACTTCGCCTCAACATGTTCAATTTTGAAGATGAGCTGATTCTTGAACCCGGAGTTTCGTGGTTAATCTGGATCCAGCTTCTTGTTATCATCCTCATCTTCGCGCTTTATTGTCTTACCGTTTTTGCGGTTGATTTCTCCAAAAGCAGTACTGAGATCAACTCCTCTGCCGCAGTTGCTTCGTCTTCTACTAGTCGGTTTGTTTGTGACGCTGCTCGCAAGGGGAAGAATCTTCCGAATCAGAACTTCAGAATTGACTCTAATCGACCGCGGAAGACGCAGGTATGGCGTTTCTCGGCTTGTGTTTTTTACGACTTGTGTAAGAATCTTTGCATTTGTGGCTGGTTATTCTCGGAAATTTAGGAATTTTTCTTCTGCAGAATCCGGTCAAATCTGTTGCTATTTTACTCTATTTTCCAATTTTGGATTTCTAGATTCCACGATTGCTTCAGAATCGATTTTATGGTTTTTCCCCCCTAGATTGATTGGATTTTTGCAGAGTAATGGGTGAGAATATAGGGTGGACAGAATGTTTGGGTTTCATTATGAATTGAATATTTCGTTTAGGCTATACAGGAAAATCGGTGTTGATTGTGCCGAGAGGTTCCTGTGATGCTTGAAAATCCGGGAGGGGTTTTCCATTTTGTAGAGTTCCTTAGCTACCCATGCGAGCCGTCTGTCTAATGCCCAAAAGTTTCTCTGATTCAACTACCCTTTCCAGCGTAGAACCCTAATTCTTGAGTAAGAGTTGGCAGAGAACGAACAGCCTGCCCTAAGGCCTCGCGAAACTGTAATGTATGCACAATTGGATGGATCCATAATTCTGCAGGAAGGTTTTACTTGCGCTACCTATCCAAAATGATTCAGAATGAAAAATTCGTTCGGAATAAGTTTGAATGAGTCTTTTATTGTTAGTGGGTTGTTATTATTAGGTTTAGAAGAGAAATTGTTGGGATTGTTAGTGGATTGTTACGACCACTCAAGGTATTTTTAGGGTTTCCTCTTTTTAGAAATTTATTAATTTTATCTTCTTTTTAGGCCTATAATTTTCTAAGCATTCAATATCAGATATTCACTTTGAGTTAATTTGTGTGTCCACAATATTTGGTATCAGAGTCAATCATAGGCCTGATAAAGCATAGTTGCAGCTAACTGAAAGTCAAATATTGATAAAAGAGTGATGACAACAAAAAATAAGTTTATGCAACCTTCTTGGATGGTCACCACGATCATTGGGCAATTTTGATAAGTTTATGCAACCTTCTTGGATGGTCACTACGATCATTGGCAATTTTGATGGGAATTTTCTACATTCAAAAGCATATTAGAGCTTGGTTGAAATAGGAATCCGAGTTGCACCTCTTGAAAAGACATGGATAGAGGCATAACATCGTCTTGATGAGCAAAAACTCAAGGACATGAAAGCAAAGAATTATCTTGTTCAGGCATTGGATCGTTCAAACACGTTCTAAAGAAAGACACATCCTCGTTCAAACACATTCTCACAAGACACATCCTCATTCAAACACATTCTCAAGAAAGACACATCCAAGGAGCTCTGTTAAGAAGAAACGTCAAATTCAACTTGGGTTAAACGAGTTCACTTACAGGCATGGAGGAAGGAATTTGAGACACCCCACATAAAGGCAGAAGAGAAGCTCCAAAGTTGAAACTCTCACTCTTCATTGACCTCACCAATTCCTTTCTCGAGGGACTCAACTCATTACTTCATCTTCTTCTATGCAATGGTAAAGGAATGGACAGCTTCATTACCATGGATGCAATGCTGATATCAAAGAAGAAAAACAAACATAAATAATCAGTTCTGTTAATGCTCGAAAGGTACAATTCAGAGCAATGGTGTTAGCCTTTGGAGAGGATTACTCTCTCTCTACTTGATTCTTCCTGCCCTGTTGATCACCCCTTCCTATATTCCTATCTCCTGTAATTAACTAGCCAGCCCAACAAGAGGTGGTAATGGACGATGTGATCCTTTTCTCAAAGAAGAAAACAAATACGGATTGGGTATTTTATTAATGCTTTCAGAGCAATGGTGTTAGCTTTTCGTGAGGATTAAATATCTACTAGATTCTTCCTGCCCCCCTTAGATCACCCCCTTTTAAGCCAACATTTTTGTAACTAGAATTTATTTTATCATTTACGTTTGGAGTGTTTACTATCCAGGTAATCATTGCTGCCTAATTAATGTCGCTTACTGACCTTTCGACTATTAGATGGTGAAACGAAATGAGTCAATCCCTTGAACCAGAATTTTATGTTTTTCATTAAATTAACAGTTGTTCTACTACGGAGTTGTATACTCTTTACTGTTAATTGATACTAAATTGATTTACATTATGTGGCTAATTGCTATTGTGATATCCCATGTTGGTTGGGGTTAATAGATGCTAAATTGATTTACATTCCGTGGCTAATTGCTATTGTGAGATCCCATGTTGGTTGGCTAATTGCTATTGTGAGATCCCATGTTGGTTGGCTAATTGCTATTGTGAGATCCCATGTTGGTTGGGGAGTTCTTCTACGATAGAGTCAATACTCTTTGCTGTTAGTAGATGCTAAATTGATTTACATTCTGTGGCTAAATTGATTTACATTCTGTGGCTAATTTTACTGAGTTGTTGCTGTGGCTAAATTGATTTACATTCTGTGGCTAATTTTACTGAGTTGTTGCGCGATCCCAAATCCGTTGGGGAGTAAAACAAAGCATTCCTTATAAGCAAACACCCTTTAAAAACCTTGAGAGAGCTCGAAAAGGAAAGCCCAAACCCACAGCTAGCAAATATTGTACTTTTTGTTATACATCTTTAGCCTACGAATAGGCAAGTAGTATGTCTTCCTAGGGTGTGCTTTGTACATTCCCCTTTTAGTTTTATGTAAAGGAAGAACTGAATTCAAGTTGGCTTGTAGCATATATCTTGTAAAAACGAATTTCAGTAGTCTCACTTGAAGTGAGCTCTTGCATGTTTTGTGTATTGGAACCTAGAATTTACCATTCGAGTGCATTCCATTTCTAGATTCAAAATGTCTGAAATTGTAACAAAACAATATGCAGGTCTCTAAGGATCAAAGCATCAGGGGGGAGATAACAAGTAGTACGAGCAGGAGAGTCACACAAGTGGTAGAAGGCGCTGTAGTAGGAGGGGACGGCTCTCAAGAAACCAAGGTAGATCTTCACCCTTGCAGTTATTTCAGGCTTGCTAAATCAGCTTTTCTCAGGTGCCTGGGCTTGGACTCTTCAACTGAGATCTCAGTCTCAGATGAAATACAAAGACAGGAATCAAGAAAGTCCCAATAAAGTTGATGTATGTTCCACTTTTCCCATCATATGAATCCTTAAACATTTTGCTCGTCAGCTAATTGTGTCTTTATACCGTAATATATCTTTTCAAAAAGGTGAAAAAAAAGAGCAGAATTATGATTCTTATACTGCATGCGAGATCGAAATTGACTGATCCATCCAAATACATACGCCATTCTCAAAGCATATAATTCTGGGTTAGAGTCTGTTTCATTGTCTTAACATGAACTTAATACTTGTTAGGCGAGGATTAGGAGTGATATTATGAGTTGATGCCCCTTTGCATTTAATCAATTTGGTTTGAGAGTGTTTTTAATACTCGTGTTTGTGTTTGTATGCTTACACAACCCCTTGTGGGAAGAATATTACCCATTTAAACTATTTTGCAAGGCAACAGCTAGTGCGAGAGGGTGGGAGGAGGGGGCAGAGTGACGGAGAGGTTTCCTTTTGAACAAGAGGAAGGGAGTAGAAAAGGAGCTATAATTAGGGTGAGATTAGATCCTCAGGTTGGAGGAGGATGGAGTATTCAGGGTGTGGAAATCTCCCTTTGGCGAAATCTCCCCAGCAGATGTGTTTTAAATATGTGAGGACTGTGAGGTTGATTCTGATCCTCGGGTTGGAGAGAGGAAAGGTTCCCTAGTAGATGTGTTTTAAAACTGTGAGGTTGATCCTGATCCTCAGGTTGAAGAGAGGAAAATGGTATAAGAGTGTGGAAATTTCTCTAGACGTGTTTTAAAATTTGAGGTTGATACTCAGGTTGGAGAGAGAACAAAGTATTCTTTATGAGGGTGTGAAAACCTCTCCCTAGTGTTTTAAAACTGTGAGGTTGATGACAAACGTAAAAACTCGAGAAGCTGACAATATTTACTACCAGCGGGTTTGAAGGGTTACAATTTCATGTGAAGTAAACAACATTAATGACTTTTTTGGTTCTATTTTCATTTCAATTGATTCATTTTAATTAAGGTATAGAAAATAAGCCATTTACAACGATGAGTACTAATTTCATTAGCAAGTCCTTTTTTGATCTTGCACATTTAGTAGCGTTGAGTTTGGTAGCGTTGAGTTTGAGTTGATTTCTTAATTTATAGAATGCTCTATAGCGTTAGGTAAAAACAAGTTCTCTTACATGCTTGTTTTTGACGATTTTTTTTTGTCAAGATTTTTTAATTCAAATATATTTGAACACATCAATTTTTAGTTGAAACCATATTAAAATTTATTTTACATAAATTTGTAAGTGCATTTTTAAAGAAATCAAACTGATTTATCTTTTATAAGAATCACTTGAAAATTGATTCTTTGAAAAATGGTTTCAAAAGTGAACACGGAAAGCTATTTTCTAACCCACTTTGTGGTAAATTGAAATTTGTCCAAATCATTTTAATTTAGATGTAACCTAACCTAACAAATAGAATCACTTTTCTAGAAAATATAACAAAAAGACATAAAAAGTTAAAAAGAAAAATATATTTTGAAAAAAGAAAATACTTCAACTAAAAGATATACCATATTTATTATAAAATTTTGAATTAGAAAATATAAAGATAAATAACCACATGAACTTATTAATTAGAGATGTCTATTTAATCGGTAAGAACGGGACTTTATAAGGACCTGTCTCGAATGAGACAGAATAAAAATTTCTCTTTGTTAGCTAAATGGGGTTAGGAGCAAAGTTATTGTCTCCGCCCTCATATGCATACCTGTATGTAATGATAAAAATTGAGTTTTTAGAAATTATATTCAATATTATATCAATATTATTAGATCTTTTATGATTTTTTTTAACCTAAATTATTTTGAAAAATGAAAATGATGTATTAAAAATTCTTCCAAATGATATAAATAAATAAATAAAAAATATATATATTAAAAATAGGAGAAAAAATTCCTACAAACCGAATTCACACGAATTATACTCGGGAAATTTGCACAATGCTCCCTACAAAAATAAATGAGAAATTTCTTGAGAAGTGTATTGAAATAAGAGGCGGGGACATGGATATGGATGAGAAAGGTTTCCACGTCCCCACCTTACCCCACCACATGAACATTTCTAATGCGAACTAGAATATTAGTCAACTAGTTAAGACATATATTCTCGAGCATGAGGTCACCCCTTTAAATTTTTCACTCTCAAAGGTGGATGAATTGTTTATTAAAAAAAAAAAAAAAAACACCTTATATCATAACATTTTTTAAAATAAATTTAAATCACATTTTAAAATATTTATTTTAGCAACGTTAAAGTGAATCGACATTAAATAAATTAAAATAATATAGCAATAATCAAATTTCCACAAAAAATTAAATATATATTTTAAAATTGGAAGAGAATAAATTTAAAATTTTGGATACCGAATTAATATTTAAATAAAAAATAAATAAATTACACATCATCTAGTTGACTAGTCGGGCGATTGGAATTTTGAGCGGCTTCTAATATCTTAACGTCAGGAGGCATAGGAGAGCTCATCAGCCGCATTCATCTTTGTTGACCCCAACAAATTTCTTATACCCATAGTTCAAACGGCCTGCTGGATCAACACACAACTACTCCGATTCGAATGCCAGGTAATCGATTTCATTGATGAAAAAAATTTGAAAAATCGTTGTCACAAGGACGATTTTGAATCCCGGAATCGTCTGCTTGTTTACCTGAGATTGGACGAATTTTCTTCTCGAATATTAAAATGGCAATGTCAGAATACACATTTGAATGTTGTTCCCGATGAGATTCAAGCTTCTTCTGGGGTTTCTTCACGCTGAAATTGGGTGCCCCAGATCCGCCGTTCATTCGATTGGATTTCTGAATCTTGACGTGATTCCTCAGCTTCTCACTTCCCTCCTCTGATCTTCGATTGACTTTGGTTCCGAGTTTCCTGGAAAATATGAAGTTAGTACCGTGTTCTCTTGCTCTTTTATCTCCTTTTAATCTGTTCTGAATTTGAAGATGTCAGTTAGTGGTTCTGTTTTGTATTGGATGTGTTCTAACAGTTGGATTGTTCCTGCTTGAGAAATGGATTTGTTTTGTGCTGGTTTAATTTATTCTCTTCATTTCAAGTGGTGGGTTGGATCTATCTGCTTTTGATGATGTTCTGTATTCATTTGTTCAGTTTTGTTCCAAATTTGGTTGAAATAGTTTCTTATTTATGCAGAAATATGAAGAAAACATATTCTGTTTTAATTACTTCAATTATTAGTCTTCCTAGTTTCAAAATGTTCTCTGTTTTGTTAAATTGTGCTCATGTGGGATCCCATATCGGTTGGGGAGGAGAACGAAGCATTCTTTATAAGGGTGTGGAAACCTCTTCCTAGCAGACGTGTTTTAAAACCTTGAGTGAAAGTTTGGAAGGGAAAACCCAAAAAGAACAATATCTACTAGCGGTGGGCTTGAGCTGTAACAAACGGTATCAGAGCCAGACACCAGGAGATCTACCAGCAATGAGGCTGAGCCTCAAAGAGGAGTAGACATGAGGCGGTGTGCCAGCAAGGACGCTGGACCTCGAAGGGAGGTGGATTGGGGGTCCATATCGATTGGAGAAGGGAACGAGTGCCAGCGAGGACGCTGGGCCCCAAAAGGGGTGGATTGTGAGAGCCCACATCGGTTGGGGAGGAGAACGAAACATTCTTTATAAGGGTGTGGAAACCTCTCCCTAGCATACACGTTTTTAAACCTTGAGGGGAAGCTTGGAAGGGAAAGTTCGAAGAGGAATATCCACCAGCAGTGGGCTTAGGTTGTTACATGGAAGGAAAAGTCTAAAGACGACAATATCTACTGAACATTGACTTGGGCGGTTATAGCTCATTTACTATCTTTTTCTTTATTTTCTCTTGTAATCATTTATTTGTTTTTGAGACGTAGGTAAGATTTAATGTTTAAGGAAGTACTATATTAGGCAATACTGTTTTATATTGAATGCTTTTACTCTTAGGTTGCCAACATTTCCATCCAACTCATAATGGCGTTGTGATAGAAACACTATATTTGGTCGCTGAATTCACCAACACTGTTATTCAATTCCTTACACCATCTACTAATGCACAGGAACAAAAAAATGTATGGGGTCTCCATCTCTTTGCTTCTTATCAACCTGGCAGCTATAATGGAACGCGCCGATGAGAATCTCCTACCGTCGGTTTACAAGGAAGTCAGCGAAGCTTTCAACGCCAGCCCATCTGATCTAGGATATCTTACATTCATAAGGAACTTTGTGCAGGGATTATGTTCACCCTTGGCAGGAATCCTAGTTCTTAAATACGACCGTCCTAAAGTTCTTGCAATGGGGACGTTTTGTTGGGCCCTTTCAACTGCTGCAGTCGGTATCAGTCTCGAGTTTAAGCAAGTTGCATTCTGGAGAGCCCTGAATGGCTTTGGCTTGGCTATTGTGATTCCAGCACTCCAATCTTTCATTGCTGATAGCTACACGGACGGTGTTCGGGGTATGGGATTCGGCTTGTTAAGCCTCATCGGTTCACTGGGAGGCATCGGAGGTGGTGTCCTTGCAACCGTTATGGCTGGTCAACAGTATTTCGGCATACAAGGATGGCGCTGTGCCTTCATTCTCATGGCTACATTGAGTGCAATAATCGGTATCCTTGTTTACATGTTTGTAGTTGATCCTAGAAAAACAATTAGCAACATTCAGGACAGTTCAGATAGGTACCGCCTGAGGTTTGTTTGTAGTTCATTTGATCTCTTTTCACAAGTCTATGTTCTATTATCTAACTTGCTTGGTATCTGGCTACAGGGATAGTTTGATAAACCGAACCTCGTCTAATTCATCGTCGATATGGTTCGAGTCTTGGAATGCTATGAAAGCCGTTATGAAAGTGCGTACATTTCAAGTCATTGTCCTGCAGGGGATAGTTGGATCACTGCCTTGGACAGCCATGGTGTTCTTCACTATGTGGTTTGAATTGATCGGTGAGTATTGTTTTCGATTTCCCCGTCTCCAATGAACCGTATAATATAATCTTGTGACCGAAAAGTTAGTTAGTATGCTCGCTGTATGTTGTTATAAATATGACATTCCTTGTCGGGTAGGTTCCGACCTGCACGAAACCCCGGTTTCGTTGCTACCGCTGGCTTTTGAAGATATTCCTTCTGTTCTTTCAGGTTTCAGTCATAACAGTACCGCAGTTCTACTTAGTCTTTTTGCAGTGGGGTGTGCATTGGGGTCTCTCATGGGCGGTTTAATTGCGGATAGGTTGTCAAAGATCTATCCTCATTCTGGCAGAATCATGTGTGCTCAATTCAGTGCTAGTATGGGCATACCATTCTCATTGTTCCTCCTCCGAGTCGTTCCGCAGTCTATCGATAGCTATCTCGTCTTCGCCGTTACTCTCTTATTGATGGGATTAACTATCAGCTGGAATGGCACTGCTGTCAATGCTCCCATTTTCGCCGAGGTTGTCCCAATGAAACACCGAACCATGATATATGCGTTTGACCGTGCGTTTGAAGGTTCGTTTTCATCGTTTGCTGCTCCTCTGGTTGGTATTCTCTCGGAGAAAATGTTCGGTTACGACAACGCAGCTATAGGTTCGTTACCGAAGGCTCTTGCATTGTCGAAGGGACTTCTTGCAATGATGGCAGTTCCTTTCGGCGTTTGTTGTTTGTTCTACACGCCATTGTATATATATTTCAGGCTTGACCGCGAAAATGCTCAAATGCAGAGTTCTAAAGGTACTAAACTCATTGATGACCTTTAAGGAACGGTCTGAGATCTCACATCGGTTGGGGAGGAAAACGAAACATTCTTTATAAGGGTGTAGAAACCTCTCTCTAGCAGACGCGTTTTAAAATCTTTGAGAGAAATCTCGAAAGAAAAAGCCTAAAGAGGATAGTATCTGCTAGCAGTGGACTTGGGCCGTTACAAACTGTGTAGGAATGTAGTAGTGTAATTCCACTGCCATTATAGTTTCTTTTTCCCTTTGAAGCCCATTCATTTTTCCTTTTAGAATGTTCTGCATATGAACATGACTCAACATTTCAGGATAAATTGGGCATTTTGTTGAGAACCATGAAGGATTAGAGACATAACTGTGCCTTCATTCTTTCTTTTTACTCGCATTGGTTATTGAGAGTGTGTTTGGAAGTGATTTTAACGATACTAGTAGCTTACTCGTAGGTAACAATACACCTGGATGTTTGGTTCTACACTAGAAGATATTTTTTTCGATGTTTCTATAATAAGGATTTAAAGGTGTTAACGAGACTAGTTTAATGTTCGATTTTACGGTTTTAAACATAAGTTTTCGGAGCATGTTTGAGAGTTGACTTTAAAAAAATTGGTGCGAGAAGTTTGAAAACGTCTTTTGACATGTTTTAGGTACCTATGCACCTTCTAGAGTCATTAAAAGCTATGTTTTTATTGGCTTTAATGGGGAATTAGGCACATCTAGGACACATAATTAACATATGATGTGGTCTAAGTTCATTAGGCTTATGTAGATAGGCACATTGAAGTTCATTTTGGGGTTCACAAGTCATTTAGACACAATGTAGTCGGGTTTTGGTGTGGGTACCGCATGGTCTCGTCATTCTCCTACATTTCTTACGACATGATTATGTTATTTACTTCTCGCTTCAATGAGTGACGAATACGATCCTTTCCAACATGCTTTGTCCTCACTCACATGCATCTTAAAAAAATTATCGGGAGGTCACTCAACATAGAATTACTCTAAGCAAAACACGCTTAGAGTAAAGAATACATTTCTTTCCAGCATGATTTGTCCTCACCCACTTGCATCCTAAGAAAATTCTCGAGCACGCTTAACTGTGAAGCCACCAAAAAGGAAGGTGCACCTTGTTAGTATAGATAGTAACTTTTATTTCCTTTGAACCTTTCTTAGTTATCTTATCTTCAAAATCACTTTCATTCATATGTGGTCTCAGTTCATTCATGTATTTCTTTACTCAGGTGTCGCAGACAATTCTTCGTGAAAGCTTAATGTTGTATTGTCAATGGTATCGAGCATGTATAACTTTAACTCTCCAATAAATTGACAAAATGAGGTACGAGTAGCAATAGAGAGCTATACTTCTTTACTAGATCCAAGAATCGTTCAGTTGAAGGTTTTGTGTATGATATTCGAGAATAAGATGTCTCTAAATAAAATATTTAGAAATCAAATAACTGTATTTTTAATTTTATATAATTATTATTTTTTGTTAGTTAATTTATTAAAATAATTTTAATTAATTAAATTTTCATTCCTTTTTAAAATATATTCACTACTAAAAGAATATTTATAAGAAAATTAAATAATGTAATTTCCAAATATATAAAATTAAAGTAAAAAAAAAATTATTTACCAACCATACAATCAATCATTACTTAAAGTATAAATAATTGGACAAAACAATTGAATATCTTTAATATTTATTTTTCAACGCAATTAAAACATTTTAATAGAAATTAAAATAAAATAAGTAAAATAAAACATAAATGCCCTACGCTAGTCTACGAAATTAAATGCAGTCTACCCTATACTAACCTATACTAACCTATAATCTACGAAATCAAATGCAATCTACCTTATGTATGTGCTATGGTCTCCGAGTTGCAATGCCACCGTCTGCCGTACATGAGAGCATTATCTTTACCTGGAAGATGAGAGCATTTCCTTTGTGCGACTATCCTAAGCGGAGTAATTAGATGTGTATTTACTATTCTACACACGACCCACACATGCGAGTATGGACCTACCAGTCAGTTCATACACCTCCTAGACCCCTTTCTGGTCGGACTAGCATTCTTTGGTGCTGTTGCCTGATACTTAGTAGGAATAATGACCATCGCAACATTACGATAAACATAATGATCGTTTTCGTGCCTCATAGAGTACGCATCTATACTATCGTAAAAGGGGAGATTCCCTGATGCATGAGGTCCCAACATTTTCATTCATTATCATGCAAAATAACCCCCTTTCGTTTATTCTTCATATCATATCATTTTTATCGTAGCTTTAAGTACATATATCGGACTTGTGCATCATGCCGAACATCCTCTCGCATATCATTCGTGTCATGTCATACATGTATTATATCATAAACATATCGTTCCTCCCCACGTGCCATATCATATCATAAACCATATCACAATATGCATCATATCATTAAACATATCATATCGTTCACATATCATATTCACAGTTATATCATATCATAAGCATATCGTTTTATAATATTTTACATATAACAAACATATGACACGTGCGTAAAAAAAAAAAAATATATTTAATATATTATTCGAGATCCATAAATTTCTATACTAGTTTCGAAAAGAAAAAATTAAAAATTAATATTCTAAAATATATTGGAGAAAATATATAATTAATTTAAAAGTGTTTAAATTAATATTTTAAAGAAAAATATTTAAATATTGAATAAGTTAAATACAATCTAAATAAAAAAATTAATAAATATTTAAACATTTCTTATATCGGTGTTTTAAAACTGTGAGGTTGATAGCGATCGTAACAGATCAAAGTAGACACTATCTGCTAGTTGTGGGCTTAGACTGTTACAAATAGTATCAGAGTCAGACACCAAGTGGTGTGCTAGCGAGGACGCTAGCCCCCAAGACACTGGGGGTAGATTGTGAGATCTCACATCGGTTGGAGAGGGATACATGCATTATTGTCTGTTCATGCAGTGGGGGATACACCTTCTCCTTTTACGATAGTACATACACGTACCCTACGAGACAGAGAAACGATCATTATGTTTACTATAATGCTGCCATGACGATCGCTATTCCTAACGGGTGTCCAGCATCAACAGCTACCCGAGAATGCTTGCCCGACCAGAAAGGGACCTAGGAGGTGTGCGAACCGACTAGTGGGTCCATACTCGCACATGTAGACTGTGTGTAGGGAAATTAAGTACACATTCAATTGCCCACTTAGAATAGTCGCCGTAGGAAAATAGACGGTTAATCTATACATTTGTCATTAATTTATTCAAAGATTATTATTATATTTATATGAGTGACATTTATATTTTTTTTTTTTCTTTTTTTTGGTCATACACAATGCGTGTTGGCAACTCATCCATAAATGTAGGATGTGACCGAACACTAACTCAAATAGTTAACGATTCATTCAATATCATTTCTCGTTTAAAATATATTCTATCGATAGAGTTAGGCTCAACGTCAAATAATGTATGCTCGATGAAATCACTCGAGGTCTAAAAAATTTGAAATTAAAAAAGATGTTACCCTTACATTCGTTTCACGAGCAAAGCACGACCATAAGTCTATCGAATATTTCCATATTTGTATTCACATTAACAACGTTTTATTTAATATTTTCAATATCTCTTCGATTTAATATCGTGCCCTTCAATTTGATTCATTAATTGATACCTTCTTTTGTACTTTTGTCTTTTTTTTCTCTTGAATCAATAAATATTGTGTGGGTTCGAACAAGAAAGTAGTTGTGAATAAATATGATATATTAAAATAATAACAAAGAGTTGTATGGTTAACTCTATCTCAAACACACGATTAGTAGATATTGTCCAATTTGGCCTGTTACATATCGTCGTCAGTCTTTGGCCTCATGGTTTAATGTTTCGTCGTCAGTCTTTGGCCTCATGGTTTTAATGTTTCGTTCCCATTTCCAACCGATGTAGGATCTCACAATCCACCCCTTGGGGGCCAGCATCCTCGCAAGCACATCACTTGGTGTCTGGCTCTAGTTCCACTTGTAACAGCTCCCTACTTGGTGTCTGGCTCTAGTACCACTTGTAACAGCTCCCTACTTGGTGTCTGGCTCTAGTACCACTTGTAACAGCCCCCACTTGGTGGTGTCTGGCTCTAATACCACTTGTAACAGTCCCACTTGTCTGTCTCTAGTAGCACTTGTAACAGCCCCACTTGGTGGTGTCTGTCTCTAGTAGCACTTGTAACAGCCCCACTTGGTGGTGTCTGTCTCTAGTAGCACTTGTAACAGCCCCACTTGGTGGTGTCTGTCTCTAGTAGCACTTGTAACAGCCCCACTTGGTGGTGTCTGTCTCTAGTAGCACTTGTAACAGCCCCACTTGGTGGTGTCTGTCTCTAGTAGCACTTGTAACAGCCCCACTTGGTGGTGTCTGTCTCTAGTACCACTTGTAACAGCCCCACTTGGTGGTGTCTGTCTCTAGTACCACTTGTAACAGCCCCACTTGGTGGTGTCTGTCTCTAGTACCACTTGTAACAGCCCCACTTGGTGGTGTCTGTCTCTAGTAGCACTTGTAACAGCCCCACTTGGTGGTGTCTGTCTCTAGTACCACTTGTAACAGCCCCACTTGGTGGTGTCTGTCTCTAGTACCACTTGTAACAGCCCCACTTGGTGGTGTCTGTCTCTAGTACCACTTGTAACAGCCCCACTTGGTGGTGTCTGTCTCTAGTAGCACTTGTAACAGCCCCACTTGGTGGTGTCTGTCTCTAGTAGCACTTGTAACAGCCCCACTTGGTGGTGTCTGTCTCTAGTAGCACTTGTAACAGCCCCACTTGGTGGTGTCTGTCTCTAGTAGCACTTGTAACAGCCCCACTTGGTGGTGTCTGTCTCTAGTAGCACTTGTAACAGCCCCACTTGGTGGTGTCTGTCTCTAGTACCACTTGTAACAGCCCCACTTGGTGGTGTCTGTCTCTAGTACCACTTGTAACAGCCCCACTTGGTGGTGTCTGTCTCTAGTAGCACTTGTAACAGCCCCACTTGGTGGTGTCTGTCTCTAGTACCACTTGTAACAGCCCCACTTGGTGGTGTCTGTCTCTAGTACCACTTGTAACAGCCCCACTTGGTGGTGTCTGTCTCTAGTAGCACTTGTAACAGCCCCACTTGGTGGTGTCTGTCTCTAGTACCACTTGTAACAGCCCCACTTGGTGGTGTCTGTCTCTAGTACCACTTGTAACAGCCCCACTTGGTGGTGTCTGTCTCTAGTACCACTTGTAACAGCCCCACTTGGTGGTGTCTGTCTCTAGTAGCACTTGTAACAGCCCCACTTGGTGGTGTCTGTCTTTAGTACCACTTGTAACAGCCCCACTTGGTGGTGGCTCTAGTAACACTTGTAAGGGCCCCATAGGGTCACTTGTAACAGCCCCACTTGGTGGTGGCTCTAGTAACACTTGTAAGGGCCCCACAGGGTGTCTGGCGCTCTAGTAACACTTGTAAGGGCCTCACATGGTGTCCGTTTCTAGTACCACTTGTAAGGGCCCCACATGGTGTCTAGCTCTAGTTCCACTTGTAAGGGCCCCACATGGTGTCTAGCTCTAGTACCACTTGTAATTGCCCAAGGCAACTGCTATATAGTTGTCAACCTCACTGTTTTAAGATCTCACAAACCATTTGGGTCAAGTGTCCTTCTACCAACGTGGGATCTCACAATCCAGTCCTACGAAGTGAACATCCTGCTCGCTCTTGTTCTCGTCTACAAGGGATATGGAATCCCACCGCTCCAATGGTTCGAAAGATTTTTCTAAACGAAACTTAATGGTGGGTGAGAGTATATACTTGATAAGTTGGTTCACACAAAAGCAACAAAATGGGTATGCTATGGCCGGCAGTATAGATATATTCTTTGGCGAAACGGATGAGCAAATGTGTCACGATTTTGGCACAATAAAGGGAGATTTGGGATTGTGATACGAACCCAATGGGCGTTGGCAACGTCATCCATCCAATCTTCACACTTTTCCCCCAATCCTTCTTCCTTCCTTGGTTGGTCTCTGTGTAGTGCTTCACCCACCACCAAACCCATCTCCATTTCTCCTCCACGTCTATGGGTTTCTTTGGTGGGCACTGCAGCGTGGACTCTACAGCCCTTTATTGACTCTCTCCTCACCCTCCTCTCTTCATTTCTGCTTTTGGGTATCCATTTTTGAGTCTCAATATCCATCAATCTCGAGCAATTTTCAAGGTTACGATGAGTGCGGTGAGTTTGGCAGCGTCGCTTCAATCCTGCTCCATTTTCACTCAAGCTTGTAGATCCAGTAGTTTTCCATTGAAAAGAGGGTCGAAATCGTTTGTGATTTCGAGGCAGAGGTTATCCAGTTCCTCGATTTCGTCTCTTTCCGTCTATGCAGTTCTAGCCAAGGAGGAGACTGTGACGGAGGAGGAGGAAGGGAAACCTACTTTCAATTTCAAGGAGTATATGGTTCAGAAGGGGAATTCCGTGAATCGAGCTTTGGATGCTGCGGTTTTTCTTCGAGAACCATTGAAGATTCATGAAGCGATGCGGTATTCTTTAATGGCGGGCGGGAAGCGCGTTCGTCCTGTTCTTTGCATCGCGGCGTGTGAACTCGTCGGCGGGAATGAATCCATGGCGATGCCGGCGGCTTGCGCTGTGGAAATGATACACACAATGTCCTTGATCCATGACGATCTTCCTTGTATGGATAACGACGATTTGCGCCGAGGAAAACCTACAAATCACAAGGTATTCGGCGAGGACGTTGCTGTTCTCGCTGGAGATGCGCTTTTGGCTTTTGCTTTTGAGCATGTTGCGGTGTCGACCATCGGCGTAGCGCCGCCGCGGATCGTTCGAGCAATTGGAGAGTTAGCGAAGTCGATTGGGTCTGAGGGCCTCGTCGCCGGCCAAGTTGTTGATATTAACTCCGAAGGAGCGGCAGATGCAGGCCTTCAGCAGCTTGAATTCATCCATTTGCATAAAACCGCCGCGCTTTTGGAAGCGGCAGTGGTTCTTGGAGCCATTCTCGGCGGCGGATCGAACGAGGAAGTTGAGAAACTCCGAAACTTCGCCAGGTATATCGGATTGCTATTTCAGGTAGTGGATGATATTCTGGATGTCACAAAATCTTCAAACGAATTGGGGAAAACTGCCGGGAAGGATTTGGTTGCTGATAAAGTTACATATCCAAAACTCATGGGCATTGAAAAATCAAGGGAATTCGCTCAAAAATTGAACAGAGATGCTCAGGATCAGCTCTCTGGGTTTGATCCCCAGAAGGCTGCTCCATTGATTGCTTTGGCTAATTATATTGCTTATAGGCAAAATTGATACTCTCTCTGTGTTCTGGAATTGCATTAAAACTGAATCTTGGGGCTTCTGAATTTGAGTTTGATATCAATTTCTTCTTGAATTCTGGATTCTGGACTCTGTGTTCTTTGCCGTTCTTGTGATCTTCTCTGTAGTTTAGTTTAGTTCTTTTTTTGGTTCAACCCTTTTGTGTATCTTTCAGTGTTGTACTGATACTCATAAAAGCTCTCAAAATCTGTATTGAAACACTTCCTTTATGTCAATCACAACTACTTATAGCCATTATGTTAGCCATTTTTACAATGAACATGTTCTGGAATTGCTGGTTCTTCAAACATGTTCTTCATGTTCTGCAAATGCTGATATCCATCCTCATTATGTCCGGCTGTTCTTGTCTGTTGTAGCTCTCTGAACTATGTCCTCTTTGTCAATGAATTTGATCGTTCAATTGTAACTGTTCAAGCCCATTGTTAGCCGATATTGTTCGTTTTGGGTCGTTGCGTATCGCCGTTAACCTCACGATTTTAGAACATGTCTACCCCGACCAGTGCCAGATCCTACGTCGGTTGGGGAAGAGAACGAACTATTCTTTATAAGGGTGGGTAAACCTATCCCTAGTAAATGCGTCTTAAAAACCTTAAGGAGAAATCCGAAAGGGAAAGCCTAAAGAGGACTATATCTACTAGCGGTGGGCTTGAGTTATTACATGGTGACGCGTTCTAATAACGCTTGTAACGGGCCAAAGTGGACAATATCTACTATTACAAAAATGGTGTAGCTTTGTACTTCTCAGTCTTTTAAGGGGCAGGGTCGGGGTTAGTAACCGAGGTCCGTGAAGTCTCGAGGTGGATTTCGGAGAGTTGTTTAGCCTGTGTTCGGAGTTCGGGTTTGGTAGCCTAAATGAAGAGTTGGATTAGGTATGTGGTTTAGGGTTGATTGAATATCTATAATCTCCTGTTTCTAATCTTGTTTTGAACAGAGCTCATCTTTGGATGGTTGATGATAGCTCACAAGCCTCGTCTTTGGTGCTTTGCGGCCAACACAATGATTCAATAACTCATTTTTCTTGAATCAAAGTTTCTTCTATTGCTCTTTGCAACTTCGTTACCATTCTCTATTACTTTTGAAAAAAAAGGAATCAACTAAGAACAATACACGATAAAAACGTTCGGTCGAGAAAATTTTTTGGTCATTAATATGTGGAAAAAAGTTTATCTAGTAGCGGAGTAACAGCCTGAGGCCACCACTAGTAGATATTTTCCGCTTTAGCCCGTTATTTGTCGTTATCAGTCTCATTAAAACGTACTACTAAGAAGAGGTGGAATCAGTATGTAGATGAATCATATAAATTTTGGTATGCTCAAACTTCTTAAATAATGGTTATCTGTCGGTGTCGTTAAGATTATTCTGACACTAAATTTAGACAAATCTTATAAAAAAAAAAAAAAATTATGATTACTTAATTATCCATTTTGAATTTTACTTTCTTAATGTACATATTTTTGTATTAAGGTAATTATTTTATACAAATACGACAGATCTAATTTTGAAAAATATATTATATTATATGCTGACGTAACATTTCATAATTATTACACCAATTTCATTTTTTTCCATATTATTTTATAAAAAAATTTGGCGTATTCGTTGTTGATAACTCCTCTTACTTTTGTTATTTTGTATTTTTTTATTATCATACATTTCCCTTATTATTTATTTATTTTTATATTTGTGCTGATGTCATTTTTTAATTTTTGCCTCAATCCAACGTCATTAATCTAATCGGCCTACATACCGTTTGTGTTTGGCTCTTCGAATGAGAATCTATTTTCTGAAAGATTCTGGCCTTCGTGCATTGGTGGATCTCCGAGATCCTTTCGATGACCCATGTTGTGTTGAAGGTATATCTATATGATCCGATTGATTGCATAAAACCCGCAGTAGCAACGGAACAAGAGAAAATATACATGAAAGGAAATTCTACTGCTCGAAACAATGGACAAAAACAAAATTACAAGTTTCTGATAAAAAAACGAGCAAAAAAACTTAGAGAGTCGAAAGCTTGCCTACTACAACCCACATTCGGTGACTTAAAAACTGTTGAGGACGTTTGACCGTTTATTATAGCAAACCAGTTACTATTCTTACTCGTGCTCAGTTACTCGATAGCAAACCAGTCCACACTCCCATGGTTGTTTCTCTACACTTGCTGATGGTTCTCCTTTCTCTTATCCTACTCTCTATAGATCTCTTGTTGGCGTCCTTCAGTACTTTACTACTACGCGTTCAGATATTGCCTATGCTGTCAATTCTGTTAGTCAATTTTTGCATGCCCTTACTGCAAATCACTCTCTTGCTGTCAACCATGTTCTTCGCTGTGTCAAAGGAACACTTCACTTTGGTCTTAACTTTCGTCCACCCACTATTTCTAATGCGCTTGTGGCTTATTTGGATGCTGATTGGGCTGGTTGACCCGATACTTGTCGTTCTACATCCGGCTATTCTATTTATCTTGGTAACAATCTTGTTTCTTGGAGTGCCAAAAAGCAACCTACTGTCTCACGCTCTAGCCGTGAATCTGAGTATCGTGCTCTTGCCACGACTGCTGCCTGAACTTCTTTGGGTTACGCATCTTTTGCATGACCTCAAGGTCCCTATTTCACAACCGCTCTTACTCTTATGTGACAACAAAAGTACTATTTTTTTTAGCTCTAATCCCGTTTCTCACAAGCAGGCCAAACATGTTGAATTAGATTATCATTTCCTTGAGAACTTGTTATTGCTGTCAAATTTGTTGACATCTTCATAAAAAGTGTTTTTCGACCTCTCTTTGAATTTTTCAGATCCAAGCTTCACGTTCGTTCAAATTTGACGTTCAGCTTGCAGGGGTGTTAAGGATATTTGACCGTTTATTATAGACAAATATCTACATATTTGCCCTTTTATTAAAGGAAAATATATTATATTCCTTTATTATTCCGATTGTTATCGGTAAATGATTATAAATAGACAACTTTCACCACCTAAAACATGTTTTTGACCTTAAAGTAAAGTGATCATTCCTAGGTCCAACGTCGTCAACTGGTGACGACCTGCCTTCAAAGAGGTAAAATAGTCTTCCTCACACTATTCATACTATAACTAGTAATGCGATACAAGTCATTCCCGAAATACGCTTGAAAAAGAATATAAATCATACTATCTATTATAGGGTATAAAATTGTACTCTTCATTCGACCCCAACTAGTTCACACACCGGCTTCGATGCATCACGTCCGAATTCACCACATTGGAGTTGGGTTTCGATGCATTCCTTCTTGGGTTTTCGGTCATGCTTGTCTTTGCATTTTGATCGATCGCTGCACATCATTGAAATTTTTGTTGTTATTTTTGTATGTGATTGAGATCTTTGTCGTTCTTAGTAAAGAGTTCGGAGATATTTTGGTTTACACTTTGTAATAAGGATCATGGTGTTCTACGAGTTTCAACTAGATCTATTATACGATTCAAAGCTAAAAAGATTTAATACGTGTTCATTCATCATCTACAAAATTGGATAGGCTCCGCTTCAATCTCAATTTCATGTGTTACAAGCTGACTCGAATGAGGAAAAACCATTTGGAGTTTTGAAAGTCAACATTTGCAAGGTTGAAATGGAGCAGTTCGTTACCATAAATAGCACTTGATTGATAATTTATTTGAAAAGTCAACATTTGCAAATTTCATTATGTACGCTCGATAAGCTCAAGTAATGGTCTATACGTGATTCCTAAAGCTCCACAGCGGCCCTACACCATTGACTCGTCTCGATCAAGCAGTATTTTCTACATAAGGTTGAAAATCAATCTAATAAATATAAAATTACTCCATAAGTAGGACCCGCTCCGAACAGTAAGGAGATTCTCTATTTATACGGGAAAATCTGAGAGGAAGTGGAGAATATTTTTTCTCGGTTAAATAAATGGAGTACAGGACGAGATTATATTCTCCATCCCCGTCCTCCACCCAATTCTCAGTCCCGCTCCACTTAATATAAATATATTTTTAACATATTAAAAATAAATATTTAGCTAGGATGGAGATGGGGCGGGGATGGGATGGGGAAGGTTCCTTCATCTCGGCCCCGTGGACATCTCTATTATTGACATGCTTATACCATTTTACAAGTTAAAACTTGAATGAAAACCCCGAACAACTTTCGGATAACAAGGTCAAACAGACCAACTCCGCTCTCCCATATGCTGGTTCTCCTTAACCTACTCTCGGACCCACACGCCTTCTTCCTCCTCCTTGCACCTACGATAGAAATTTTCGAGAACTTTTGCATTAATTCCCTTTTTGTCCCACACATGAAATCTTATCCACTAATGTAGATCGATTTTGGTCCGTTGATTTCAAGTGATGCATAAAATTCCCCCCTTATATTTTTCCTTCTTATTTTAGCTTCCACAACTTCATTTAAAATATCCAAAATTGAAAATTAAAAATTAAAATAAAATATATTTTTCGTATGCTTTGAACTATATATATATATATATATATATTTATATTTAAATCAATAAATCTAAATTTTTTATATTAATGTTTCTGAGATATAATAGAAATTTCGATCTCTTTACACGTTGTTAGTAACCAGCCTCGACCTCGACTTCAAATCAAAGCAAAACTTACTTTTAAAATTTAGTGATTTGGTTCATATTCGATCATCTGGTTTAGCCAAAATGGATCGAATTAGATCATGTATATCCCTACTGTTTAGTCTCTTCCGCCTCCCTGACTCTCAATCTGACTGCATAGCCATCAACGACCCTTCTCCTCTCATCACTACCCCTCACATCTTGTCTTGCTCGCTTCATTTGTCGTACCATAGGTGCGGACCTTACCATATCTATCTCCTCTAAGGGTGTATACGTGTTGGGTTGGTTTTGAATATAATACTTTTGTCACATCCATTCAGCATCCCGCCGAGCTCCCTCAAATTGGTTAGAGCATCATAATTCAAATCATTAGCTATAACGACCCTACGTTTTTGCTTAAGTATAAAACCGTCACTTATAATTCAAGGTGAAAATACGTTTAGAATCTCGGGTCTCTCAAAAAATAATAAAATAAAAACTAGGAAAGATATATTAAATCATTAATTGAATTATTACAATTTAAAAAGTGATAAAAGCATTAAAAATAATAAATTGTAGAATACATAAATCATCACCAACTTCAAAAGAGATCAATACAAAAGAGAGAGAGAGCGCAAGAAAATCAAATATCAAATTCAATTATGATATCAAACCGCC